GCATGAGGAAGGTTGAAACCACTCACCGCATTACTGACTTTCTTCCGTCATGATTCTCCTGCTCCTCTGGTCCTGCTGCCCCTCGTGCACTCCTCATTTCTATGGAGACACGGCTGTCTCCGCTGCCTGAGCTTTCAAAATCTACAGGCCCCAGGGACTTAGATACTTCATTCATTCATGCTTCCATTCAAAGTTGGGGAGCCCCACCTAGTCACCTTTTCAAAACTAGCTGCTCCCTCCAACCCCACTCTCTGCTCTTGGGCTGCTTTATGCTTTCATAACATCTACTCTGACCTGCTGTTGCCTGTCTTCCCAGCGGCAGTTGAGTTCTACGGCTGCAAGAACTGTCTATCTTGCTGCCAGCTAGATCTCCAGGGACCACAAGAATACTCGGCACATAATAGGTGCCCGGCAGGTGTTGGAAGTACAAGCAGAATGCTCCTTACGAGTAAGGACGGCGAGACTTCATCTCGCACACATGGGAAATGTTGTCAGGAGGGGCCAGCATCTGGGGAAGGGCATTGTGCCCGGGAATGTAGAGAGGCAGTGAGAAAGAGGCCAAGGAGGATTCACAGGCGGCTGCACCAGTGGGCTCAAACATACGAACAACTGTGGGACAGTGCAGTCCCGGGGAGTGTTTCCTTCTGTTGCACGCAGGGTCACTATGGGTCAGAACAGACTTGTCGGCACCTAACAACCACAAGGTGCTGGAGGGAGTTCAGTGGTGTAAGTGTTGAATGCCCTCAGCTGCTAACTGAAAGGCTGCAGGTTCAAGTCTACCCAGAAGAACCTCAGATCTGCTCTCAAAAAAACCAGTCATTGAAAACCTGGTTAAGTACAGCTCTACTCTGTATACACTGAGCTTCACACAGGGGCAGCTGATAACTGGTCGGTGTGGGAATGAATGAGTGACTTCTAGGTCATTCAGGGTGAACTTGAGTGCTTCCTGCAACAGGGCACTCAGTCATCTGAATCCCTATCTTCCGTGTTAATACTAGTCTGAAACAAAGTTTTCCATGAGGGGGCTTCAAAAAACTTATGGGAAAATGGAATTAAAAGCTAATGGAATTTTTCCACAAAATTTGAAGCTCCCTGGTATTGACATTGTAGTAAGATTTTTTTCTCATGATTTCTAAAGCCTTTTGATTTAATTCTGCCTTTAAAAACCATGTAGAGGAGAGGAAAAGTAAATTGTTCTTCATCTGCAGTCTCTGTTTACTTTCATTACACTGGTATAAACTCTTGTATTAACATTGTAGGAGAGTATAAAAAAGAAAATTGAAATTATACATAATTCCATAACAGTTGCTTGCACTTTGTATATTTCCTTCAGGTTTATTTGTTTGACCCTTATTAAGCTAAAACTTTTCATATGGTAGCTTTGCATTCTTTCTTCATCAGAATATTATATCTAAAGTGCTTTTCTAAAGATCTAGGAAGCAAAGCTATGGATAGAGGTATAAACATAGATGTGCACTTAGGTAAATAGATTAATTATAAAAATAGAGGTAGTGGCCTCAGTACATATATTTATATGGCAACAGATTGAGGAATTGGACAGACTGTGGGCCTCTGCTCAAGCCCTCCCTCAACGCAAGAACACTTTATGCTAATAACCTGGCATTCTGTGATGCTCACCCTCCTGCATGATCGCTGAAGACAAAATGGGTGCATAAGCAAATGTGGTGAAGAAAGTTGATGGTGCCTGGCTATCAGAAGATATAACATCTGGAGTCTTAAAGGTTTGAAGTTAAACAAGCAGACATCTAGCAGAGAAGCAACAAAGCCCACATGAAAGAAGCACATTAGCCTGTTTGATCATGAGGTATGATGGAATCAGGTAACAGGCACCAGAAGACCCAAACAAACAAACATAGTGCTGAGGATGAAGGGGGTCAGAGCAGAGACCCCAAACCCATCTGTAGACAATGAGACATCCCCTCACAGAAGGGTCAGAAGGAAGGGATGAGTCAACCAGGGCACAGTGTAGCACCGATGAAACACACAATATTCCTCCATGTCTTTGAGGCTTCCTCACCCCCCACTATCATGACCCCAGCCCTGCCTCTCAGTTCTGGCTAGACTGGAGCATGTGCACTGGTACAGATAAGAGCTCTCAACACATGAAATCCAGGTCAGATAAACCCCTCAGGAACAGAAATGGGAGTAGCAATATCAGGAGGGGAGTGACAAAGTTGGGGTAGGAAGGGGGAACCAATTGCAATGATTGACACATAACCAGCACCACCCCCGCCCCCTGTGGGATCAACAACAGAAACGTGGGTGAAAGGAGACAGTAGTCAGTATAAGACATGAAAACAATAATTTATTAGTGGTAGTTACATAATCTTGTGTCAATTTGGGATTTGAGAGGATTAAGAGTGAAGGGGTGGAGCCTAGTCTGTCAATCAAATCATAGCCAGCGAGGCCTCTGTGTGGGCATGGCCTTCTCCTGAGAATTCTGGGAATTACAGTATTACCTCCTTGAAGACTGGAGACAGTCTCTCTTTGCTTACTTCCTGGGAGATGCTCTACGGACAAGACAGATGGCACTGTGCTGATAGACCCCGTGCCCTGGGAGCTGGAGAATCACATGGACCTACCCTGATGCAACCAGACCTCTGGAGCCGGGGAAACCGATGCTTACAACCCCACTAGATCCAGGAGACTTCCAATCCACTGGCCTGTGATCCTCCTGCATGCAGCATCATTGCATGTATTTCATGAGTCTGAAGAGGACTTTAGAAATTGGTATGGGCTAATAATGGGCTAATATCAGACTTCTGGACTTGATCTGGACTGGGCTAGGATGTTTTCTCAATATTCAACTGCCCTTGTATATAAAGCTCTTTCTTAAACACATATCAGTGTCTGTGAATTTGTTTCTCTAGTCAACTCAGACTAACACACAAGGTGTTATGAGGGGGTGGGGGGACAGTGGGAATGAGGGGGGAAAAAGAGGAGCTGTTACCAAGGGCTCAAATAGGAAGTAAATGTTTAGAAATTGTTTGATGGTAATATATGTACAAATATGCTTGAAACAGTTGGTGTATAGAATGTTATAAGAGCTTCAAGAGCCCCCAATTAACTGATTTTTTTAAAAGAAAGAAAAAAATGAAATGTTTTTCTGTGTCACAAATTCCCATGATCTTTTTATGGAAATCTCAATTATCTGCTTCTCTGTGGCTGAATATTTGAACTATTGAGCTTTTAGACCTTTTATACTTAAAAAAAATTTTAAGCAATGTTTGTAGATACCTAGTTTATGGCATGGTAGCTACTATCTCAGGAGAGACTCAAAAGTGGTTCATGTCTGAGTCTGAGAAGGTGGGCTTGTGTATTTTCCACCCACCCTTCCCACACCAAGTTGCTTTCCAGAAAGATGATGCAGTTAAAATCCCCTTATACAGTTCCAGCTATCCCAGATCACCACATCTTTATCAGCAGTGAGCATTTTCTTTTCAAAATTTACCATTTTGATAACCAAGAGGAGGGAGCATTTTTTCATATATTTGCTAGACATCTTGAAGGGGTGGAGTGCGCGCATTTGAGAGAGGAAGGTTACTGTCAATTAATTCCCATAGTTTGCCCATTTCTGATGGTGTCCAGTATTTTTATTATTATTAATTGAGAAGCAATACATATATCATTCCACAGTTCCATCACATCAAGTAGAATTGTGCAATCGGTACCACCATCAGTTTCCAAACATTTCTTTCCTACATGGACTCTTTAACTATTGATCTGTACACATTTTTAAATACATAATGATCATTGAGCTTACGTGTTGCTGTGGCTGTTGACAAACATGCTCTCATTTTATAACCTGCCTCTGCATTTTGCTTCTGGTATCTGTTGGAAGACAGAAGCTAAAGGTTGTTAGCTATCCACCTTTCCCCTATGACTTCTGGGAAATGTGGGCGGTCCCACGAACTCCGTGTGTCTCACGCAACTCTCCAACTCTGTCTCTCTTCCCTCCTTGCAGAAACAAGTGATAATATTATGGGACTGATCCGGTAAAAGCGCAGAGAGGGTAGTAAGGAAGCGGGCTTTGTATGATTGACTCACAGGGACTCAGTGGGGTTGGGTTTTCTGTGTGATTGAGAAGTGATTCGCAGAATGGAATTCAGGGGCAAAGACGGATCGACGGTCCATGACCCCATTTCTCAGGCTTTCCAGGATAAAGCATGGACCCAAATTTCCTTCTCTAAACCCCATCCTCTTTCCCACAGCCTCTATCTAAATCCATCTAGGGCCGCGAGCGGGCACTATCCAGAGACAGGCAGGGCCCCTGTTCTGTTTTCTTTGCCCTGTCATTGCCTCAGTCAACCCTAGAGCCATCCTGTATGTTTTAGATACAGGGCACACAGCCGCAGGAATCACAACCCCAGGAATACCCAAGTAGGCATTGTCAGTGGTGCAACATTGGGGGAAATTTCTCCTCCTCAGATTCCCCCTCTTGACAAGAGCGGCCAGAAACATCTACGCAACAGCTAACCTACTACAAACCTCCCAAGAATCAACACACCTAGCATCTGACAAGCTCAGATCTGGTGTTCGAGCTATCCCCGCTCCCCTTCAAAAACAACTTTTTTTGTTAAAAATCCTCCCACCTAAATATAGTTTTCTCCTAAAAAGCAGTCTCTAAATGACTCTGCTTTCGCCGGCATCAGATCTCCCCAGTGCATTCTGACGTTGGAGCGTGAAAAGGAAGGTAAGCGAGCGAAATCAAATGGTGATTGCTAACAATGACATTTGGGCTCATAAAATCAAGGATATTATTCAGAACAGCTAGGTAAATTAGTCTCATTCATTCTGATGGGGCTAGACTCTATGGCTGTGTGTGCCTTCTTTAATTAACATGCTGAAAAGATGTTCTGATTGGGATTATTAATGAATGCAGCGAAAATTTTTGCTGCTCGTAAGGCTTCTTGCCACAGACGGTTTACAGAAACCCCCTCCTCCCTTTTTTATAACCGCCCCCCCCCCTCTCTCCACAGATTCCTTACATGGTTTGACAGATGGAGTATTCATCTTTGAAGCTGTTTCCACAGAAGAGAGCAAAACCGTACAGGGCTACGATGCCATTGTTGTCGAACAATGGACAGTTCTGGAAGTGAGTACGGAGTTGGCAGTGGCTCCGCTTTTGTTTGGGCAGTGATTGTTTTATCAGCTGGCTGCATCTGATGCTGGGGCTGTGGTTCAGCTGGGGCTCGCTGGTGAAAGGGAGTCTGATGTGGGTAGGTCTCATCGCCCCCTGTGAGCCCCCTCACGCTCCTTCATCCGAGGTCCTGGGGAGGAGAGTGGGCCCCACTTTTCCCTGTCCGTAGTACCAGCGCGCACGCGTGTGTGTGCGCGCCTGCGCGCGCGCCGCGGCATCGGGTGGGAAGAGATTCCCTGTGTGTGCCTTGGCTGATCACAGGAAGCTCTACGTGCTCACATCCACGGGCACAGACATAGCTTCTGGCCTCTGCAGTCGTCTGAGCAACCTTGTCGTCGGTGCTTACACCTCACGATGCCCTCTGGCAGGCACGCTTCAAAGAAATGTATGCACGCGCGCTCATTCCATCTTCACAGTTAGCCTCTGTGGTCAGTGCCGCTCTTGCCGCTGCCCCCTCCCATCTGACAGCTGGGGAAACCGAGGCACGGAGTGGTTAGATTCCCTCGCCCGACGCTACACCTTTAGATACTGAAGGGTGCGTTTTGAGAAGTGCTGACCGGCAGAAGAATCCCTTCAACCGCATTCCACTGGGACATTGGGAAGAGCTGGTTTGGGGATCCCTAAGACTCGCTGGCGTTTCTCTAACTGTGGACTTCAGCGCGCACAGCATCTGGGGCGTAGAGGAGAAGCTCTTGGGACAAGGAGGACCCATTTCTGATGGCCCTCCCGTGGGCCCTGGGAGAGCACAGGTAGGCATTGCTCTGGGGGGCGCCTCTGCCTGGCGTCTCCTAGGAGCCAAAGACAGACTGATGTTGATGCAAGGGGTGGGGGTAGTGGTGCTGGGACCCACCAGGCAGCAAGTGCTGGCCGTGCCCTGTGCACTTCACAACTGTCACCTAGCAAACCTGTCTGTGGGCCCCCAGAGGCACTGTTCCCCAGCAAGCAGGCAGGAAGAGGGCTGTTGGGGGGCTGCCTGCATCTGAGCAGTGAAGAGAGGTAGCTGTGACAGAGCACCCCTAGCCTTCCCTCAGCCTCTGACCTTGCCATGTCTTCAAGGGCAAAGGGAGGAAGAGCTCTTCCGGTCAGGTGGTACCCCTTGGCTGTGGGCTTCTCTTCCTCTTTGCAGCTCGTGTTGCCAGCTGCAAGTTAGCTCACAGGTGAATTCCTCCAGGAGGGTTTGCTGCCTCCCTTGTAGTTAAAAAAGCTCTGTCTTCTGAGTTCCCGGCATCCTCAGGGCCGGAGCCTCTCCTGTACTATTCTGTCTCGGTTGTTAATTTGTCCACTTTCCTCCCTCCATTGTGAGTGTCTTGGTCTAGAGGCAGTAAGCGTTGTTCTCCAAGGCATCTCAAGAAGGTGATCCCTGAATGGAATATTTGAGTTCAGTCTAGGATAGGGCAGTGATTCTCAAAAGTCAACCTGTGATTCAGTGTATCAGGCTCACCTGGAGAGCTCCGCCAGTTACAGCTGTCCTGGGTCTGGGAAGGATCTGCATCCGAACATAATTTTCAGCTGCTGCTGATACTGGCCCTAGGACCCTCATCGTGAGAGCCCCTGCCCTACAGGAGCCAACCATAGACAGTGATATTGCCAGCGTAGCCTGGCAGTGCCCAACTTGGGGCAGCGTTGCCCACAGGTCAGCTCTTTGATGGGGCTCCCTGTGAGAGAGAGCCCCACTCTGACCCACGGCGGCCCCGCTTCTGCACACCCTTTCCGGGGCATGTGGGTGTCCGTCCAGCTCCCCCTTCTTCCACCCTCGAGACCTGCTACTTCCTGCCTTCCCCCCACCCTTTGGGCCTTCCTGTTTAAGCCCTGGGCAGATCCCTTTTGGCTTCTGGTTGACCCTGCTCTTTTGGCAGACTCTGTCATCCCAGCCCATGACTTCTTGTACTCTGGCCATGCACTTTCTCCTCGTGGAGACCGACCTGTCTCTTTCCTCTTTCCTGCCTCCTCTCTGGTTCAGCCATCTCTTCCACTCCATGCACCCCCCACATGCCCACACCCAGTGTCTCACCGAGAACCCCTCCCTCACTCTCCTCTGCTCTCTGTAAGCGGCACAGCAGGCTGGACGAGGAGCGGAGCTGCTCGCTCGAGACTGGCCTGCACGTGCGTCCTGGCTCTGCAGGTCCCAGCTGAGTACTGAGTGCAGGAAAAGGAGACCACTCCCTTTGCATCCCCGTGTTTTCAGGTGCAGATGGGATACTACTGGCATCTCTCAAGAGCTGGGGAGAAACACGAAAGCTACTACAGTAAACATTGTGTGTGTGGTATGGACCCGTAGTAAGCACCCAATATGCGCTATTTATGTTTATCCTTCACCTGGTGCCATCGAGGAGGCAGATCCTCTTCCATCTTATTCTACAAGCAGAGAGGAGGCTGGACTGGCGGACGTGCAGGGTCAGGCGCAAGGAGTTGTGTTTCTCTGGGTGGGAAGGCCGTAGCTTAGCATGAAAGACAGTTGTGAGTAGGATAAAAACCCACTTTGAAGGTGTTGCTAAGAGGCATTTGGTTTACTGTCTGCATTCACAATCTAAAGAGTGAGCAGAAATGGTCCTGCTTCGAAAAGCAAAAATGATGTAGCAAAACAAATCAGGAGAATGACAGAGACCGAGTCTGCTTTCGAGCCTGGGTGGCCTGCAGCCTGGCAGTCCTTCAGAGGTGTGTGCAGCATCTGGGTCACCTTGAGCTATTCAGTTTGATTAGCACTTCATCCGCATGTCCTACAACTCAGTCATTCCACCACACTAAGAGGGGTTGTGCATGGGTCACCATCGTCAATTCTAGAACATCCGCTTCTGCCTGGCACTCGTTATTCATGTAATTACTTTTTTCTAAGTGTGGTAAAAATATACGCAACCAAACAGTCTCTGACTCCACAACTTCTACATGCATAACCAATGTCATTGATTCTACTCTTTGTGTTGTACAACCATTATTGATAACCTTTTCCAAATTATCCCACCACCATTCACAGAAATTCAATGCCCCCTAAATTACACTCCTTCCTCCTTCACCCTTGGTAACCATTGGTCAAGTCTGGCTTTTTTCTCTTTTTTTAGTAGTTTTTTTTATATATATTTATAGTATTCACATATCATACACTTCCATGGTTAAATCGCTAGCTATTCAGTCTTCACATTAAGAGCTGTCTCTATCTTAGTTATCTCCCCTGAATTTTTTTTTCCAGTTTATTGGTGTTTCTTGAGAAATTTGGGGCCAGGATTGAACATAAGACAGTCATAAACACACTTGTCTGGTGCAACTGGTATGGTCCATGGCTGGTGGTCTCATTGAAAAGTCCGTTAAAATAGAGAACCAAAGGAAACCACAGGCAGACCTTAGACATTGGATTTTAATGTGAAATATGTAAATGCCCATACAGTTGCCAATCTTTTTGAGTAGGGGGTCCGCTGATTGGAATCCCACTTCAGCCTTCTTCAATAAACGGCACTCAATGTGAGCGATCTGTAATTTCCAGTGTCAGTCTCTTTGAAGAAAAAGCAAAGGGGTCTGACGGCAGAACCTTTCTATGTGCTGACGGATTTCTTGCCCATCATTTCCTTTCTGCCCCCCTCATTTAATGCAACCGCAGTGGTTAGTTGTAAGCAACAGTAAGTCTGACAGTAGCTGTAACTGGCCAACACCGGTCTGGTAATGCATAAGACTGACCCTTGATGCTATTCCAGTTGGTGGGATTAGAGCAATCTGACCATCTTGGAGAACAGCCTGAGGCTTGGAAGAACGGGCCTTACTGACAAGCTAGACTTGAAGCCCTGAATGTAGAGCGGGAAGTTGGATTGGCTTTGGGGCTGGATCCCCATTGCACTGCAGCCTGCTTTCTGCCTGTTCCTCAGGCCTGGAGCGACTGCTGGAATGTGATTATGTCGTCCCCTATTTTGGAGATGCGTCCCAGCTAAGGCTCTTCCTATGGTTTGGTATTTATGGTGCCTCATGGCCAAATCCCCATATCACACCGACTGGATCAAAGACAAGGTCATGGCATGCTAAGAGAATCCCTCCTCCTCCAGCTGTAACCTTAATCCACATTCTTCTTCAGTGGTTTAAATGACCCTCATGTCTGGTATCCATTTTTTATCTCACCACTTAACGGTATCATGAGAGGTTTGGTAAGATGCATTTATATCACGAAAACCTACTCCAACCTGCCTGTCCTGACATCTGTCCAAAACGTTAGGCCACACTTGTTCTACCTGAACTTCAACAGACTGCCGGGAATCATCTTTCTAATAAGAGGTGCTCCCAACCATCTCTAACAACTCCTCCGAGGCCTTTGCCAGGGGTAACATCAGTTTCCACAGGATCTAGAATTCACCACCTTCTGCTCTTGGCAAGAGAGCCAATATGTGTTCTTTTTACACCATCTGGCAGTTCTGGAATGCTCCCCAAGTTTTTCCAGGATAATCTCTTTGGCTCTGAGATCACAGCCTTCAGTCCCGGAAGCAGCAGTCCTCTCTGCCTTTTCCCTGTGGCACGAGGGTGGTATCGCAAAGGACCACTCCCTCGAAAGGACACCACCGCCTCCCCAGCTGAAACTCTGTGTGCTTCCCCGTTCAGAGTACAGCACAGCACAGAGGGGGCGGCCAAAAGACTTGGGACACCCGAAATCCATTCTGCCAGATCTCTCAGGGCTTGCATGTCACTGGATTGTTTTTTGTGAATTGCTGTAGATTTGACTCAAGGCAACCCCTTGTTGTGGAGTAGCTGCCCCGTAGAGTCTTCAAGAAGGCGACCTTTCAGAATAGGTTGCCACCCGTGTTTTTTAAAGCATCTTTGGCTGCATTCAAACTGCCAACCTTTCGGCCGGGAGTCAGGCTCTTCACCATTGGGGCCACCAGGGGAGACAACGTTCACTTTTATTGGGATCAAATTCCGTGTGTTCCATCTCACCTTTGCTAATGGCCTACCCGTGTGCTAAACGCTATGTCTGAGAGTCTCTG